GCTGCAATGTGATCAAATGTGAACATTCTCAAACATGAAATTCAGATGTGCATACTAATGTGGTACTTGTGAAATTTACTACTTCGCAAGATATACTTCTGTTACTGTTTCATGTCATCATATATGCTGTCGTGCCGACTAAAGTTCCCATGAAGACATAAAAGACCAACATGCACCCATTCAATCAAAAATACACACTCACTTTAACATTGTGCTCCTTTTAGAAAATCTCTGGATGAACCGGAGAATCTAATCGGCGTCGCCCCTTTGAGACGGTTTCGAACCGCGGCCCAGAAGCGTTTATTCTCCCCACTACTCTAACCGCTTCTCGTCTTTCACTCTCTTGGGATGAAAAAGCTGAAACTCTGTTTTCCTCTTCCCTCCCTGTCGTCCTCTTCCTTTCCTTTCTTCACCCTCCCTCTTTCCGTGTGTGTGTTTCGTTGTTTGATGGTTTAGTTTTTGCCCTCTGTTTCCCTCTCTCCCTCCACTCAGCCATTCAAAGACGACATGGACCTGAAGCAGGAGATCAGGAGCGAGAGCGACACGCGGGAGGAGTACGAGCTCAAGGTGAGATGAGTCAGCGAAGGGGTTTTCATGTGCTGACTCCGGAGGTTTTCAGGAAAACAATTATCTGCAGCATCTTTGGCATCATTTCCTGCATGTTGCATGAGCTTTGTGGTCAAGTTCATCTCCCAGTTCCTGTAAGGTCTTGTTTTTCCTGCAGCACAGCATTTTCAAAACCTGCCGAAAGGTTCCTGTTTGCAACAACAAAACTTTTATTTATCATGACTTTTTAAACTGTGCTGGGAAACAAAATCCCCTTATCTTAACGTGTTTGTTTCATAGAAAGGTTTTTCTCAAAATAGGTCTTAAATATTTAAAGCCAAAAATGATTCTGCAGTCGAGTACATCATTGCTTTTCCTTTAGTATTCTAAGCTAAGCTTAAAATGAATAAATATTTAGTTTCTTGGAAATTTTATGAACGTTTTCCCTTTGTGGTCTATGCAGAAGCAGTATGTGTGACTATCTGAGCATCTGTGGACCAGGACATTCTCCAGAAACGGCAAAATAAAGATTATGACATAAAACTGTATCTAGAGAGTTTGTGTCTGTATGACATTCTACAAACAGTTACTTCTCTAAAATTATATGAAAACATTAAAAATTATGTTCCATTGCGTCATTAAAACATTCAAACAAACATACTAATTTTTTCTTGATTCATTTGATTGCTGTTCAGCAAAAGCCTGTTAATCAGACATCAACTGGAATCAGATGTACTGAACCTAAAATGTATGGGAAGTCATATAAAATGTATTTTTATAGCTCAACAAGGCAGTTCAAGAGCTTTACACCATGAAAACATCATGCAGTCACCAACAAAATGAATAGATTTGCTTTTTCCAGATGTCTGAAACTTTTCTGTTTCTTACGACTGATATATTTTTTTTTCTAGGATCCAACTAACGGCTATTACAACGTCCGAGCCACCACCCACGACGAGGCGCGACCCCAGTCCCGTGTTGTCCACTACCAGGGAGAGTTTCGGCCCCCAAACCCAAACACCGGGCCAGGCGGAGCCACATCCGGCGGACCTTCAGCTGCGGTCAGCGGTGCGGTTCCTCCCAGCGCGGTGCCAGGCTCCAGGGCAGGCTGCTACGACCCTCGCCCGCCCTCCAGGATGTCCCACGCTACCTACGCCCAATTCAACACCTTCTCTAGGGCGGCACAGAGGCAGGAAGCTCCTCCAAATCCTGCTCTCCCGTCACCCGGAGATTACCCCGGAGGAGACTGTGGCCTGCTGGACAGCTCAACCCAACTGCCATACGACAGCTACGGATATCCCTCCCAGTATCCCAGCTACCGCATGGGCTTCGCTCCCACCATAGAGGAAGGGCCGGCCTATGAGATGTACCCGACAGGACAGGGGACCGGGTCGGGCCCGGGAACGGGACAGCAAAGTCCTGAAACAGGCTTGGCAAAGTACGGGAGCTCCACCCGCTTCTCGTACTCGTCCCCTCCGTCTGACTATTCCCACAGACACACGCAGCGAATGCAGACTCACGTGTGAGGAAACGCCGAGGCGCTTTCCTGGATTTGCTTTCGGCATCAGCAGTGTTTTCACATCCCGTGTAAATCCTCCCGTTCTGTGCGTGGATCTTCAACAATCCGTTCTCCATTGCAGTCACCGCATGGAAAACCTTTTTTTTTTTTTTTTTTTTTAACAGTGTGAGACCCCAACATTTAGGAAAGAAGCAATACATGCAGAGTGATCTTCACCCTGATTCACGCAGGCCTGCTGCGGTTACCCATCAACAGAAGCAAAAGCGAGATTCACAATCAGGAGATGAAAAGAAGAACAAGAAGAGCACTTTGCCAACTTGGACGACCTCCCATCACACCCTCCTGTTTCTCTGTAAATAATGTGAAATTTGGGCCATTTTAAAGTTATATTTCTTGTATAAATATATAAACAGCAAACCTCTCAGCAAGCCACACTTTTTACATTTTCTGACTTACATTGCTGAACACAAATCCAGACATACAACCACATTTCTTTAAAAAAGAAAATGCATCAAAGGGGCAGCTTGGACTATGAATATAGCTGGCACTTTTCATTAAAACTTGCTTAATGGCTTTTTTCTTACAAGATCTACCTTGATTTGAGTGGGACAGTTCGTCTGGTGAAAACATTGCCAGTTCCTATGTGCCAACACACACAAAAAGAATTAAATGGTGTCTTTTCTTTTTCAAATCGTGGACAATGAGGTGCTCCGGGTGACAGGATGCTGTACAAGACAAACGGAGCAGTAGCAAGCGTCTCTTTGCTCCTTCTCCTCCTCGTATTGTGTTTCTGTCATCATCATCCATTTCTATACCTAATATTTCACCTAAAGTCGATGCTATAGATAGTGTTTGTGAAATAAGGTGTGGTGGGAGCGCCTTTTCATTCTATACATTTCTGCAATTTGTGCAAAAAGATACCTCCCCCATCTTCAAGTGTTAAAAAAAAATATTTGTTTCTCTCACTTGCACAGTAGAATAGATTTTTTTCCATATTTATACTGAAGCATATGAAAAAAACAAACAAAAAAAACCAACGGCATTCAGAAACATTTTATAATATTTTTATAAGGAGTTGTGGACCAAAGGTTCAGCATTTTGGGTGACGCTCACTTTTTAACGTGTAACGCGGCGTTACGGTCGGAAACGGTCCGAGTTCCTTTAAAATGAAAACGGTTTTTAATGTTGTAGGCTTAACATAGAAAACTTAAAGAGCTTCACCTCGAAATAACAAGTATCCAGTTGATTCCTGCTACGGATATATTTGTTTGGCGTGAAACTCTTTCTTTGACTTCCTGTCTTCTGACTGGACTGCCTTTTTTCTAAAGCTGGTGACGACATTCAAAACGACGGGCTTGGAGCGAACAGCTGCTCGATTGGAGCAGCGCTGGTAACTTGAGAAGCAGCGAGAAGGTTTAAGTGTAGTCTAACATATCAAAGTGAGGTAGAGAGGGTTCTATCTAGCTCATATGGTACTTTGTACTATTTGTAAGTATGCTGTTTTTTTTTCTCTGCAACAGAAACTCTGCTGGTGTCTTATGTCTAAGATTTTTCATCGTGTCATGTCAGGTTTTGGTGAACAGATCTGGCCTTCAAAGCAGAACTTGGTACTCGAAACTTGAAACTCTGAGGGGATAAATCATGCAAGTTCCTCTCCCTCCTCTAAGTTTTGCTCAATGATGTTAAACTGTGGAGAAAACTGTTCTGTTCAAACATATAGCGCCCTCTACAGTTAAAAGAACCCCTTGTAAAGATATGTAAAAAGCCTAATTATAAAGGCATATTTTAATTGTTGTGGCATAATCTCAGTTTGAAAATGTTTTAAAAATCCATTTATTAATTTGAGTTCATTTATTACCTGAGAGAAAAACATGCAGCACTAATAACTAATTTACTGAGGGAATCACCTGGATTCCCTTTGCTCCACTTGGTGAGTCATTTCTGATATTTGGTCATGTTCTTTTTATCATTATTCTGCTAAAAGACCCAATGATGATCTATTTTCCATTTTTCTGGCAAAGCAAATCAGATATTTATTCAGAATATCCTGGAATCTCAAAGAATTCATAATGCCATGCACTTTAAAATCAACCTTTCGACAGTGAACATTCCCACAGCATCACAGTGGGAGGAAGTTGTTTTCTGCACATTTGTTTTTCCCTTCATACGAGACCCACTGCGAACTGGTTGCCAAAATGTCCAAAGCACTTAGTCTTTAGCATTTAGCAAACTCTGCATTTTGACATTTGTGATGGTAGGACAGAAACAGAAACATTTCTGTCCTGCATGCCTCCAAAACAACAAAATGCCAGTTAGGTTTCCTTTATGGTGGAGATTTTTTTCTTCTTTTACCTTCATTACCATCATTGTACATGTTGACAAGATAATCTTGGATGCTTATGCAGCATTGTTTGGTCTGAAGGTTTAGTCCTATTTTCAGGAGTGTTTACATGTGATGTCACTATTATAATAAAAAGCTTATGGATAAATACTTTGATAATCCCAGACGCCATAAAAAATTATGCAGTTTTAGTTTTCAGGAAAAAGCTGAAAACAGTGATTTAGAAATAAATTAGTATTTCTCAGTGTGAGATTATTTTTCTCTGCTTAAATGTACTTAAATTAAGTTTTTCACATGACCCCGATTTCTTAGCAAAAATCTCTGGATTGTAATTTTCTTACACCTCAGTGAGGTGTCGGTGTCGTCTCAAACGGATCAAGGTATTTCTTATTATAGTTTCTAACATCAGCTATTAAACCCCTCAGGTTTAATATTAAAGCATTTAAGCTTTTTGTATACTAAATAAATGAAAAACGGATTGATTTTTCTTTTTTTTCTTTTTTTTTTTTTAACCGAAAAGCCCCCTCTCCCCCAGTGGATTGAAGTTATTTATGTTTGCACTCGGAGCTCAATGAGATTCGACTAAACTGCTCTCTTCATCATCATACCAACTCAAAACGTTACATTTTATGGCGACAAGAATTTGTTTAGTGGAATACAAGAAAAGTGCATCAATAATCACGATCCCCATGTTATAAGCTTCCACCACATTAAGTTTGCTTTTTTTCTGGACAAACATGAAGACAATAAACCTTTCTATTGCACCCATCAGGAATAGATTCTATATTTCATTTAATACCTTTCCAAAAGTTCCCATCCTGCATGCTTCACTGAGCAGGTAAATTTAAAAGGCGCAGAAAGCAATAAGGAGTCACTCACTTGTATCTGTATTCTGCATTTTGGAGCAGTTAAAAATGATTGTGCATTAAATAAGACCCCTGGCTGCAGAGGCTATCAGCCACTCCAGAAGTAATCATTGACTGTTTATATTTATCAGTCGCCCCATCAACCCTTCATGGTATATTATGGTAATTGTCTGCAGAGGGGCTATAAAAATGTGTTTATAGCTCTTGTTTTCTATAAAGGCAGAGAAAGAAAACCACAGCCACGCCGGTTTGTATCTCAGAGGCAGCCTCGCAGCTCCAAGGTCACGATGTAAACCATGTCAGCCGGGGTAGAACGGCAGGTGGAGCTGCGTTTTAAATTTTAAACTGTTATCACCCCCCGTGGAGCTGTTCACTGTAATCTATTTACAGTCGTTTTACAGAGTTGTAGCTGAGCAGTATTTTGCATCTGACTTGCAATCTTGTTACCACCTTGTGGAAGGATGAGTGGATTTGACAGAGAAGATGCTGAGGCTGTGGCACGCATAGCCAGTCCATGCAGGTACTTGGGTATTATTACCTGTGGTGACATTACAGTCTGTTGACATTACAGTTCATATAAGATGTTAAACACACACAGCCGATGCAGAGGTACAGCAGTGGAAAAATAACTACAGGTTTGTCTTAATACATGAAAACAGCATCAAACCGTAGCTGAATTTGAAGGAAATATGGACACTTTTACCTCATTAGGTTGTTTTTCCGTGTCTTTTTTTATTTTCCATGTGTTTTTCTCGTTGCAGTGTGTGCTGATGGTTTCTTTCAAACTTGCTGCCATGTGTCAAATGAAAAGCCATCTGCCAGCTTCCAAATGTCAAAGACAAAACAGAGAATGAAATCACCTGAATATCGCAAACCTTTCTCTTGTTGCTTTCTTCCAGATTTCCATCATTTAGTCACACCATCACACAGTACAGTGTAGGTATGTCTTTCTGGCTTGCTTCTATTTCTGGTGTGTGTTTTATAGAATATATAAATATTCATGAGTTCATCATATCCACTTCAACCTTTTCCTGATTTATTTTTATTTTAACCAAATAAGTATAAGTATTTTGTATTTACTTTGTGGTACATCACCAGTTGAAGGAAAGACCGGTCCAAAGTGTCTTTCACATTGTAAAACACATTCTTTGTTGGTTCTGATCTAATTAATCAACTCAAAAAAAAGTTGGGTATTGAACATCTGTGGCCTAAAGAACTTGTCGGTCATGCTAGAAATAGCCTGAAGTGGGTCTCAACTAGGCCAACCCAGACCAGGACCGGGCCAGGCCCATGCTGGGCTGGGCTGGGCCGGGCTGGCCCAGACTGTCTGCAGAGCCTTGACATCCAGTTTTACTGTGTGAACCTTTCAGTGAGTGCCAAAAAAACCCATCAACTGAGCAGACATGCAAATGCAGCAGCAGTTTGTGTTTCTTCTGACCCTGTCTTTATGTGTGGGTGGATTCAGACAGACACACGTGTTTACGATGTCCAACTTAAAGATGCATGTGTGTGTGTGTGCGTGTGTGTGTGTGTGTGTGTGTGTGTGTGTGTGTGTGGGCAGTATGTAATCCAAGTCATTAAAAACATGTTTGGGTCAGTGGAGAGAAGAAATGATGGTTTGACTGATAATTTCATATGTTGGCCAGTCACTCCTGCGGGTATGAAGGAGACCTTTCCTGACCACAGCGATAAAAACCCTGAAAATGCAGATTTTCCTCCTAAGTGTAATTTTTAACAGCTCAAATGTTGTTTGAGTGAAATGTTGTTGCTTTAAGTACAGTTTTTGTTTAATATATCATCATGATAAACCTAATTTTTAACAGAAGAAGCCAGTATGATTTGGCTCTTTTCCTTGTCCTGCAGTTTTAATCATTTTTTATTTTATTTTATGTTCAAATATGAGACAAAACTGATACCTGCAGCTAACAACTAACACTGTTTGGTTGTGATGCAGATAACAATAAAACAAACATGTTGAGGTGAAGAGAAGTTTAACCAGATGGGTTAAAACATTGATATATTTTGATGTGTTACAAAAAAAAATTAAGGGTTAAAATTTTATATTTTATCAGCCTTTTTGTGTAGTAAGAACAGCTAAGTTCTGTATTTCTAAAAGGAAATTATTATTTTACAACAGCAACAAAATCTAAACCTTTGAAAGCATTGTCTAGAAAACTATTACAAAGATTAAACTGTAAATCTGATCCTGCAAATAAGTACATAGCCTACTAGAGTTTTTTTAAATGGGGACATTTAAAAAAAATTACCACAATAAGTGAAAATGATACATTTACTTATTTTAGTTTTTGCACAAGGTTGTTCTTTCATGTGTTAAATCTGTAAGCTACATTAATCAATATAGACGTTTATAACACACATGTACCGCTGCTCCAAACTTGACATAAATGCTATGCAAATTAATAATTTACCAATGAAAACGCTAAATAAAGTCATGCTGTACTGTGTTATCTGCACAGACTCACATCGGCATGCCTTATGCTTGAAGTTGCTGGCAGAGGAGGATAGCTGGACTTTATTTCTGATTAGTTCAGCCAAATAAACCATCTCATATCTCTGCATAGAGAATTGAACCTTCATCCCAAGATGGTCAGGCAGGTTTTAGTTAACAGTTAGCACTAGTTAACACTAAAACCGCATTTCGTCTTGACCAAATATTTTGATGTTTGCTGAATTATCTAAAGGTGCTTTTTGTAAATCTAGTTAATTTAGAGATCTATGTCGCACTTTTCAAATTAATGATATTTTTTCCTCTCATTTTAATTTTAGGAAAAGAGCCAAATCATAATATTGATTTCTTGGAGGGAAAAAAAAAAATCATGATTGGTTTTAAAACTGCTACTGTTTGTCAGTCAAACCCTAGTTGAATGGTGGACAGACGTTGAACGAGGAACCGCTTGGCCTTTGATTACGTGTGAGGAGTCAGAACAGAAAGCTTGTTGCTCATCTGGTTGCAGAGCCTGTCTGCTCTCTGCATGAGGGAACAAGATGATGTTCTGCTTGATGCTGTTGAGTGTCTGATTATCACTACAGTGAGAAAGAATCCATGTTGCACTTAAAACCGCGTGAAGTGGAGACGGAGATAGTTACGAGGCAGATAATGAGTGAGTTCAATCAACCGTATATAATCTTCATTCTCCAGTTCTTGATTTGTATCCCTATATATTGTTCACGTGTATTAAGTTTTGTTTGGTACTAGTATATTGTTTTTGTTCAGAAAAAAAAAAATGTGTGAAAACAAACTTACAAGATACTGAAATATTGTTTTTTTTTTTACGTTTCCTGTCATGTTTTTGTTCAAATTCAATGTAATTATTTTTTCACAATATAAAGAAAATAAAAGATGACACAGTTTCATAAGAAGTTTGCAAAAGTCTTTTATTCACTTTGCAATTAATGAACTCATTATGTGGCTAATTTATGATAGAATAATGAACTGAATTAGTGTTTTTTATTCCTGCAATAAGATGCTGGGAAGTTATTAAAGAATTTTATCTCAGCAAAGACAGAAGAACTAAAATCACCCAGTCAAATACTCTGTCCACCTCCTGTATGGCTGGATTAGTACTTTTTCACAGTACTGTGAGTTTTTCAATAAAGGCCTTTGAAATTCTTGAACTTCATTACGTCATAGAAACATCTGACAAAAAGACACAGCAACACTGACACAGTAAAGTTAGTAGAAAACCAGATTTCTGCCTGCATCAAAACTTTTGCCCACAACATGTTCGTAATAAAAGTTTGTGTATTTCACATGAAGTTTATTCAGGTCAGACTGACTGCAGTCAAACACATTGTTAGGAGTTTGTGGAGTTGAGCAGAGTGAAGGAGAATGTAAAAGTGTGTCTAAATTTAGCACAGAAGAATTAAGGAGAATAAAAAGCTGCTTCCCTGAATTTGAGCTCAGCGCATAAAGCCACAACAAACACCTGCAAAGTTTCTCCTGTTCCTTTCTTTTTTCTTCCTTTGTCTTGCAGCATTGCTTTCTTTTTCCTCTAATATCCATCTCTCATTTATTTTTCATGAAATATTTTTTTCTGATTTTCTCTCTCCAGCTTTGCTCTAACCTTCTCTCCGTCTCCCTGTCGCTTCTTGTTTAGTCACTTTTCAGGGTTTTCCTGAAAACATCAGTTTTCTGCTTCTAGCATCTTCTCATCTCACTCTTTCACCTCTTCTGCTTCTGCATGTCAGTACAGATTCTCACTTTGCCACATTTTCATGACTCTTTCAAATTTCTGTACAGCTTTTCATCCGTTAGAGGAGCTCTAACCTACTTTTCCTCAACTTCACCCCCACCTTTCTCATTGTCACTTCTCTGTTCTCACTTTCTTCTCACTCACTTTTCACACCTCTCTCTCTAACCTTTTGTTTTCTTTTTTCATATTTTCTCCTTTGCCCTGATAACTTCTCAAGCTTTCTGTCTTTAATCTCATGTCTATTTTTCCATACACTTTTTTTTAAATTTTCATTCCTCAACCTTAATTTGTTCCCCTTTCCTCTGATTTTATTTTCTGTTTTAAGTTTTTTTCTGTTAAACCTCAAACTTCCTTCTAACTCCTCGCCCTAATAAATCATCGTTTTGTCTTTTTAGTTTCACTTTTTTTCATCAGATTTCTTCAGATATGTTCATGATGATTCTCAGTTGATTATTCAAAGTGCTTACACAGAAGACAGCTGCCCTTCTGATTAATGCTGTTTTCTCTAACACCAATAATGTTATTTTTCTTATTTAAATTGTGCACATAAACATCTTTACACACTTTTCTTTCAAATTATATTTTAGTTTATTACAGAGTCCAAAATGCATAAAAAGAACAGTGTCACAAGTTGACAGAATATGACATAAAATAAGGCAAAGTAGTGATAGGGAAGTCTCCACAGGGAATGTGAGCTCTTATAAAAATTATTTATGTTTTTATTTATGCAGTGAGGAGGAGGAGGTCAGCAGAAACATTGTCTGAGAGAATAAACGTGGAAACCTAACAAACCGGCAACCTTCCCAGGGATTTAAAAACATATATGCACTTTGCCTCAGTCTGCTTGTGTAATTTATAGCCAAATTTAGTTTTTTGGCACTGCAATCCTTTATTGAACAGGGAAGGGGAAGACATCCAAAAATGTGTAGGAAAAAGGAAGTGAAGGAACATCCTTTGCACATTTTCTACCAATTGAGTCACCCAGAAACCAAAATTAGTGTTTTAATGTAGTTTACGGAGACCTTACACAAGTATTTTGTCTGGTTTCCAGTGCAAATGGCACAGAACTTGTAAAATAAGACAAAACTATTTCAAATGTAACTTTTCAGCAACATAAATAAGCTCAGTAATTCTTGAATATAAAATTTTAAAGTATTACTTCCATTGACAGGTTTATTCATTTCTAAGATATTTTTCCTGTTTTAAGTGAAAACAAAAATGCTTAGAATTAGTGGAACTAATACTGTTTGTACAAGTATTACAGACTTAAACCAGTTCATTTATCTTGCTGAAAAGTTACTTTTAAGTTATTTTTGTCTGAATAAAGTGAACTAAAATATTTCCATTATATCATAGACAAAAATTCTTGGTAAGATTTTGTGTTTTTGCAGTGCAGAATGATGAACAGCCTGTTTGAATTCAATTTTCAGTAAACTGTCTACTATCCCTTTGATTTTTCTTCGTCTCCTGCTCCTGTTTCTTTTTTTTTTTCATTTTGATGTCAAATGAGAGTTCCTCCAGCCGTTTCCCTGGTCTGAGTATTTTGATCATGAGTGTATTTGCTCCTTTCTCCTTTCTTCCTCTCATTCTTGTCATTGCTTCCTCCTCAGTTACCTTCACCTCTTTTCTTTTTCCTCAGGTTTTTCTCTACCCTTTCATTTATAGCCCTCCATAAAAGCTGGTTATCTTCTTCTTTCTCTCCTCACGTTTTTCATTTTGATTTATCTTCCTCCCACCTTCAGTTTTTTCTCTCCCATCTCTCCACATCTCTTTTCCTTTCTCTTGTCCCATCCTTTCAGTTTATTTCTTTGAATCATAGTCTCATTCACTTTCCTCGGTGTGATCTTTACCCTCTTTTCTTTTTCAATGACAGCAGAGAAAAATCAAGTAAAGAAATTACAGATATGACCGGATAAAAGGACAAGGACAGAAGAAAGGAGCACAATTCAACTTCACTTAGTGTGAACTTCTGATTATCATTTTTCTTTTCTTCCATTCTCGTCGAGAAGTAATATCTGGAATAACCTTCATCGCTGCACTGTGGACCCTCTTCCTCCCCCTCCTCTTCCTCCAACTCTTTTATTTCACCCCCTTGTTCACATTTGAGGCGGCTGTTGGAAGGATTATGGCCCCTCTCATGCTTGGCACGGCTCTCGCTGCTTGAGATATATTATCATATTAGTGGAAAATGATGTAATGCGTTTCAAGACATTTGTCCTTCGCACACCCTCTGTCCCTCCGCAGATGATGTCACAGGCTTTGTCTACAGGCAGAGAAGTTGTCAAGCAGATTGTGTGGGGTATTCCTTTGTTTGCTTGCTGTTGCTGCCACCCTGTGGCTGGAGAGCAGTATGCAGGGAGGAGAGGATGAGGTTCGAATTAGGATGGAGGAAATTATTTATTACTGATCTGGAGGATAATGGGACTCATAACAGACGTCCTTGGTGTGTCGGTGCTGACGGGTTCTGTTTGGTCAGGGACAGATGGAAAGAGACAGACGCATCGCATATGACTTGATTACAAATGAGGGTTAATTAACTGACTGGCTTGTTTTTATAGAGACAAATAGAAAAACCTTTGCAGAAACTGATGGAAACAAGCAAATATAAAAGAAACGTTCACTGATGAATTTCTAAATTTTTATTTCCAAGTGAAGCCAATCTTTAAATGTTTGTCTTGTCAAGTTGAATTAAAAATCACACACACACACACACACACACACACACACACACACACACACACACACACACACACACACACACACACACACACACCCAATGCACCTTTATCAGGAAGCAGAAGGTCACATCATCACAGAAACATATTTCATTTTGCATCCTGTCTACTTTGATTCGAGGGGCAAATCTGATTTAATAAAATCAATCAAACAATTAGGATATTATCCACAGATATGCATTTTATAGAGCAAAGAAAGTCCTTGCATGCATAAACAACAAGCTTCTTCATATCATATGTGCCATCTCGGTCAGATCAACACTTCTCTCTTCGCGGTGGAGGCTGGTTGTTTACAGCACAGCCATTTCCTGTAAGCTTAATAGCGTTGAACTTACACGTCACACCCAAACGTCAGCAATAGGGTTAAATTTAAAACTTCAACCACGTCTCTGATAAAAAGCAATCATTCCTCAATAGCTGAGAGCCCAGATCCTCTGTTTGAAGCTAATCATAGAACAAGGGATTGGTTTTTACCAGGCTAGCTTAATAGGGGTTTCCTCTGTAGTGTGGCATGCTGAGAAGCTCCAACATCTAAGAAATAGTTTCCTTTCTTTGTGTTGAAAGGAGTCAGTGAAAGTGGTAGAACACCACCGACAAAATCGCTTCAGCTTTGAATCCGTTAGATTGAGATCTTCTGGAGGCCAGTGGAAAACATCCAAATGTCATGTTCAAGAAACAGATTTGAAATGTTCTGAGTTTTGTGATATGGCGCATCATTTTGCTGAAAGACACCATTTGGTCATAAAGCTTTCTTTATAACCAAAGCTGTTTCTGGACCACAATCAGCAACAGCTCTAAGGAAGAATGTGGTCTTTAAATACCGCTCTATTGTTAATGACAACCAAAGTGCATCAAGTAGAGATCAGCAC